CATGTACCTTTCAGGATTAATGTCAGGATTAAATGAGAATATCAAGCACTAGCATAATGCCTGGCACATATTTATCAGTATCTATTCACTTACATTCTGTGTTCCAAGCTTCATAAAGTACAATGTGTTTCTATTTGGAACTTTCAGACTAAAAAATATTTTGTATTGAGTATTACTTACCACAGTTCTAAAGAGAAACTTTATATTGAATCTTACTTATCACAATTCTAAAGGAAAATTAAGAATATGTGGAATAAATTTTTCATAGGATATTTAAGGAAAATATGTTTATTGAGTGGCCACTAAGCATAAAATATTGCTTCCTATCATATACAGTTGAATATATTTGGAATCCAGTACAGGAGAAGTCAATCTGAATGCTATTCTCAGTTTATTTTATATTTCCTCACCCTTTTGTTTGCTATTTTTCTTTTTATGTGACCTTGTTAGCTTTAAGAAAGTTTTCAAAATAAAAAAGCACTTGACTTTATTCCATAATCATTTAAAAATAGGGTTGATCAATATGAAGCATTAGCTAGGAGTACAATTCCTCACCCTTTTGTTTGCTATTTTTCTTTTTATGTGACCTTGTTAGCTTTAAGAAAGTTTCCAAAATAAAAAAGCACTTGACTTTATTCCATAATCATTTAAAAATAGGGTTGATCAATATGAAGCATTAGCTAGGAGTACAGCTTGGTGCTGTTTTATCGATTTCAGTTACCAGTGCCCTTAGGCTTATGTGTGTGAGAATGAAAATGATATATGAAATATGCAGCCAGGTTAAACAGACCAATTTTCTTTTTGCATCTGCAACCACTATAAGCAGAATTCTTTATATGGAAATGACTTTGTTAGCAGTTAGTTCCTCTTTCACACACACATGCACACACGCACACATGTGCACACACAACCTTAAGAGTCCAAGTGTGAGCTGGTGTTTTTGTTATTTAGGTCAAGATTTGTATAGTGTGTCTGGAAGTTTCTGTAATGTAGTTGCTTTTACTAATTATAAAATGCAATTGAAGGTTATAGATTTACAGCTCACAAATACACTTTTTGGCATCTTAACAAATGGTTATAAGCCAGAATCTTGACGATTTGAAAGATGTTCTGCTAAATAACCAGTTACAGACCAGCAAAGCCAAGAGGGTGAATATCAGGGAAGCTTGCTCATCAGGGCATGAATTATTTAGAAAGTTGTGTAAGGAAGTTGGTTGTGGGCAGAGGTTGTCATGTGTCATCTGCCCTGTCAGTCAGAGCTCCCACAGCTGTTCCCTGTCACCAGGGCCTTTGTGTGTCACTGTCATCCATCAGCACTAACAGATACCAGCTGCCTCTCCACTAGGCTGGGGAAGCCATGGATACAAAGACTTATAGTGTGTGTCTCACTGGCCATCAGTTTGAATGGAAGCTCATTTCCAAAGAGGGAGACCAGGCACCGAATCCATGGTCTTTTATTAGACCATTAACTAAAATATATTCTCAAAAAAATTACTTGGATGCTGGAGAATTTGTTTTGACCAAAAATATGGCTGTAGAAATATAAAAGCATTGCTCATTTGAAACCAAAGAGATGCCCTAATTAAATGAGAGATGGGAGAGCTTTCTCCACCAGGTACTAGGTTATCACTGAAGAGGCCTTTTGTGGTTGAACACAACAAAGCAAAAGACTAGGAATCACAAGCATTCCTTCAATGATGATGCAGTAATCTGCCAAATAGGATACATCCCAATTCTGATTATAGACAAACCTCTTAACAGTTTCTTTTTCCCTTCTTGTATTCCAGAGACATCCTTAGAGGAAAGGATTTGAGGGCATTAGTATCACTGTCTGATTACTGTGTTGACATTTTTAAAGTGCCATTAATCATAGGAAATGGAACTTAATGATGGAGACAAATATCCAGCCAAGGAATGTCAAGAGAGTAAGCTACAGCCTAATATTCACATGAAATTGAAGGGAAATGCATCTTAACCCTTTAATTGTTTTTTTCTTAATCAACTTATTATAAAACTCCAAAGCTAAGTAAGTGAGAGGAGTGCAAGCCAGGGACGTGGTAAACATAGCAAAAGGAAATTTTAAAAGGCAGACATTTTTATTTGTAAAGATTACAGCTATTTAACGTATAAAGTGTGTAAGATAGTATGCGTATATAGATTATATAATTGAAGCCTTACTTGGAAGAAAGTTGCTTTTTCTTTTTGATATCCCTTCCCATATTTTTTCTGTTGAATCTGAGTGTTCAATGTACTTGATATAATTTAGTTTATGTGAGGCTTGACTATTGATGGAATTTTAGAGTTATTAGGTTGATAGTATGCTACACAGGTAACACTGCTATCATGGGTACACAGAAGTAAAAAGCAATGATATGGCATGTGAATAGAGTAATTCATTTGTCAAAAGCTGGCAACACTTATGTGTATTTTGTTAGATTCTAATATCATCAATTAGTTGTTTGCCTATTAGATAATTTAAATTCAAATAAGTTTTCCTAACTGAAATTTTAGGAAACATGAGGTAAATTAAGGTATCCTTATTTAGAAAATATATATGACAATAAACAATAATGAATATTCCACTGTAAAATGTTTCTGGTACTGACTTTGAGCAGGTGCTTCATTTGGAAAATAGCACAAGACTCTACATCCACCTCCTCCCCCTCCCTTTGCCTTTTTCCCCCTCCAAAACAAATCGCCAGTTATAGCACAGGATACATAGTAGATTCTCAATAAAGACTGATTGATGTATGGATCTAAGAAGAATGAATTTTAAGGTGACCTTTATAAGGAGATTGGAAAAGTAGTAATATTAGTGATATGTTTCGGGCTTTTTTTTCTACTACAGATTTTTATCATTCATTGGAGGGACACTGTGTGAGACTGGGAAGCCTGAAATGCAAAAGAAAATAAATTTATTCCTTGAAAAGGAGGGAATAGAGAAAACTGCAGAAAGATTGCAAACAACAGTACACACCTTACAGGTCATCATAGATGGTCTCAGCCAGCCTGAAAGTTTTGATTTTCGAACAGGTAAACAATTGAACTTGAATTATACCACCTTGCATTTGTGTGGCTCACGTTATCTCCTTTTGTTATCACAACCAATGATTCTATGCCATAGGCAAAGCAGGTATTATTCTCCCATCCTCTGCATGAGAAAATTAAAACATAGTGGGCTTCCTTTAATGCCATTATAGTTAATATCCAGAGCCAAAGCTAGAAGTCAGGTGTCCTTCAGACTCCTTGTCAACTATTTGTTTCCCATTATGCTAGACTAAATGCATCATACTTGTACTGCTGTGTACATGGAGGCACATATTTTTAATGAACCTTTTGTAATCTGTTTTTATCTTCTAGGAACCAGAATTCCAAGGTAAAGCACTCAATTCACAAGCTAAAAAGTGAATCTTCTTCCTAAATTACAGTCTTCCAAGTTCTTGGATTCTTTGTCAATGAACACATTGAACAAATAAGATAATATCTCTCTGTTGATTTTCCTTCTAATTAAAAATGTTCTCAGCTTTCAGCACAGGTAGATGGTGAGGGAAGTGTAACAGCCATAGTTGTTGAGAGCAGTGACCCAGAGAAAAAGAATTAAGGTACTGAATAACTTACTTCCCAAGGAAGTTTGAATAGAGATTTAAATGAATCTCCACACTCATCTCATAACCAGTTTTGATGATATTATGTTTAGGGCTTGGCTCTTTTCATTCCAGTTTAGGCTGTGTTGAGGTGATTAGACATGCTTCTTTGAAAAGGCTTAAGGGAATTTAAAAACACACCCAACAAGTTCATTGTACTATTCCCTCAACTCTTCTGTAGGTTTTAAGTTTAAGAAAAAAAAAATTGAAGAAAAATAAAATAAAACACCCAGTAAGAGACCTATGCCAAAAATGTAGGAGTAGAAGCCTCCAAGTGGTCCTCCACACAAGTGGATATTTCAGCAAACAAATCCATCTCTGTTTGGAGGCCTGGTTATCCTTTTATGTGAATTCCATGGGTGTTGTCTAGCAGGAATACCAAACAGAGAGAGTAGATCTCAAACAGGGTGGGATTTGGAGTGTCATGCCTACATGCAGTGCATTAGAGGATTGCAAATATACTCTAGCTGCAAGTATCCTGTACTGGATATTCTTGCCCATCTTTGTTTTTCTATCATGCTGTTGATTGCTCCATTATCCCAGTCACACTATGAATCAGAGCAAAGATCAACACTCAAATTGTTTGGTCTGATTAAATAACAACCAAGCTGAGTAGAGGTGCTTACCTGGGATGCCCTTAGTTGAGCAGAAACGTGAATGCACCTGGACTCTGGACTGAGTCTATGAATCAGAGCAAAGATCAACACTCAAATTGTTTGGTCTGATTAAATAACAACCAAGCTAAGTAGAGGTGCTTACCTGGGATGCCCTTAGTTGAGCAGAAACGTGAATGCACCTGGACTCTGGACTGAGCTTTCCAGTTACGGCAGTGTTTATCGGTATGACAAGTGAAATTTCAAATAGGTCTCTTTAAGCAAACTTTGGAATTGACCTTTTCCCTAATGTAAGCCACAATTTTCAAGATGTCTGAGAACTTTCGTTTTACTACTAAACACATCCCCAAGGGGGAATGCATCTGAGCCATATTCTTAAGGGGGCAAATGGTATTTTGGATGTTTCCACTACAGTATTTCTTTTACATCTCTTTTTTCCATTTTCTCGAAAGTATTTCCTTTCTTAATGCTTCATTCTTTCCTCATACTCATCCTCTCCTCTGTTTTCTCAGTGACATAATGAATTCCATTTTTATTAACACTCTGGTTGCTAGTTAGATTCATCAGAATCTAAAATGGGGTTCATCTGAAGTAGCCTGGCAACAGTAGACTGAATGTGCAGCCTTGGCCATCAAAGTGTTAAAGTTTTCCTGGTACATGGAAGATTTTTGGATTTCTCAGTGGCCCAGACTGTCTTCAGGAACATGTTAAGTAATTCCTGACTCTAATTTTCCGTGCGAAATTAAACTAAGCAGCTGATCAGGAACCCTTGGGGAATTAGCAGCAGCTGGACCTCTGCAAGAAAAAAGGGTAAAAAAGTGTCCAAGCATAAAAACAATGCCTATGGGGCCTCAGAGACCATCATACCTCTGGCCCTTATCAACAACTTAGTTTCACTTTGCTTTGACACAGTCCTTGGCCAGTGTAATATTGCATTACAGTAGGTTTTTGCATTTGGAATTCATTGCTTCAATGTCCGGTGAAATTCTACAGAATCAATTCCAATTTTAGCATGTCCTCTTTTTTTATGAGGAAAATGAGATTTGAGTTTTAAAGAGGGTTTTCGTCTTGTTTTACAGAAAAAAGCTTAATTTTTTAAAAATCTTGGTTTCAGTATGGTTGGACTGGCGGAGGGGGAGAAAGAGGTGACCGCTTGTTAATACAAATGTAAAGGATAGCTTTAACAAGTAATCAGGATAAAGCCAACAGCTGTGGAGGAAAAGGAAATGGAATGGGTGGAGGGGAAAATGAGGTCTTAGTAAAAGGAGATCCAAGCATAGAATGCGTTCTTTGTTACTAGAGTCAACAGTCAGTAATCCTAGGAATGGGGGCCAAGAAGAGCATGGATAAATGGAGTCCACAGAGAATCCACAGCCCCATTTAACTGTTAGTTCTATATAAAACCTTTGTTGTTGTTGTTATTGTTTTAACTAGAGCCATGGTGATTCCTTGACACGTTTTATGTCCACCTTTTGGGGGTTGGTGTTAATAAACAGAGAACTGTATTCTGGGGTGAGCAAGGAAAGAGGGCTGAAAGGAAACAGAGAACAGAGATCTTCCTGTCTTCATCTTTGTGACTCTAAAACCAGCAGGGTGCCTGAGTGGGAGATAATAATAGGAATGATAAATGTTCTACCTGAAAGGAGAGAAAGAAGATTAGGTAATAGGTGGTCTGGGTTCCTGAGCCATGGATAATCAAGAATCCATAACTTCTGATTGTATAAGTATATTTGAAATAGATAGAAATCGATTCCTGAGTTCCAAATTTGTGGGAAATGAGGAGAGAGAACATTTGAATTTCATCCACATTTTACCAATAGTTAATGTACTTTCTACCACCTATAAAGAATTTAAGAATCCAGACACTGAAAAAAAATAACCAACTCCCAGTCTCCTATCTCTAAGAGATTTCTTTCTCAATGTTTGTGTTTTAGCCTTGTATATTTATTGAGCAAAGACATATTCTTATC